AAAAAAAACCAAGAGGTGAGGGACATGCAAGCGAAGCGATGATTACAGAAACATTTGACGGGAAGAAAGAGGTTAATTGGAAAAGTAAAAAAAAAGCGGCCAATCGAACACCACCGGGACGAAGATCTTGGGCTATCGAATCGCACTCTATCAATAAACAATAATGGCCCTAAATAGGAAAATCTCTGTCTAGAAGTAGATCATACTTTGTTTTACATGATGATAGAAGGCGTGTATCCAATTGTGCACGAGTTAATAAAGTATAATACACAGGAAAGCGTGCGCTTAAAAGCGAAAATAATATGGAAGAAATGGGAACGAAGAAGCAAAATAACAACACACAATCGATAATCGATTAAATCGATTAGAAATGGAGGATGGCAGGCCCGTATTGAACAGACGTCATCGATCACAATATGGAAGAGGAAGAGTTGAAAAAAATCTATGAATATAAACACCACAATGATGATAGGTTGTATAATTGCAATGAGGGGAGCCGACCATCAGAACGTTGAAGCACTAATTGCTCTGCATTGAACTGATATGACCGGAAAACGTAGCAATACCACGTAGATACAGAAGAAGAAGCAAACTGTCACTCCAGAAGCTATTCAACCAGCACCGCTTTTTGCTTGTCGACGTCCAGTCGGCACACCGGGCATTTCTTATTATACACCAGCCATTTGTCGATGCAGTTCACGTGGAATATGTGCGTACAACGTAGATTTCGCACCTCTTCGCCTGTCTCGAACTCGCATAGACATACCGTACAGCGCTCGATCTCGTTTTCCGGAACCTAAAAGATGAGGTATCAGTTCATATTTATGAATACAGATTACCATTGAGTCTTGCAACTCAACCAGAGGAAGAAGTGCCTTCTGATGAATACATCGTTTACGGAACCACTTTTTGCAACACCAGGGATAGCTGGTAAAAAACTTTTCAGTCCCTTCACCCAGTGAACTGACTTTATCATCAAAGTCGGTAGCAATTCTCAAACAACCTTAATCATAACTCTTCAGTCAATTCGCAAGCCATACCCTCAACCCTACACAAGCGTTAAGAATGAGGCAGTGCTACGATCAAGCCAGATCAAGGACTCGACTTTTATCTAACAACTTTTTAAGCCAATAACTGGAACTTTTCTTCCTTGATTTCAGATCAGAAACGTGATGATGAGAAAAAGTACGTTGGCTGATAGATTGATGATGGGTAACCAGCAGTTGAAACCGGTATCGGTAACACATCAGAATGCCAAGGAAATAAGTCCGAACGCTAAAAAATGCGCATTTCTTACCTCAAGATCTTTTACGAAATTCATTTTTTCGGTACATTTCTCGATATCTTGAGGAGTTGCACCAACTGGCAAGGGCTCGGCGACTGGTGCTGCAAACATGTGATGTCGATCCAACGGTCGTTCGACCATTCCGAGAAGTTCCGGAGGCATTGCAGAATTGACCAACATGTGTAATTCCAAACGCCCATTCTAAAATTCACATGCACAAAAAATGTAACGGTAGTCAATAGATGACCTAGCAGCAGAAATGAGTGAGAAAGTAAAGAGGATTTAAACTGACAGGCAGACGTACCGACGCCGCCGGATAGCCTCCGGTTCGCGGTAGTACGTAGAGTCCGGTAGAACTGGGTAAAAGACGTCCGAATTGGCTCAGCTGCTCTTGTTGCCGTTGTTGTTGTTGCTGTTGGTGACGCTGCATAGACTCCAACATATGACTGGCGAATATCGCATCATGTACGTAGCGAAGACCAGCTGAGGCCATTTGTGAAAGATGCGCAGGCGGCGTTAGGTGTGCAAACTGTGCGTTTCCAGGTACAGCCAGCTGTTGAGCACTTAAAACGAGTATAATAAGTTGAAGAGAACGAATCGTTTCCACTAATAAAAAAATGCAGTCACAACTCACGGTTGAAGCGCAGCGGGAGGGTTCAACGCAACGGGAGCAGCAGCAGCAGCTGCTGCTGCAGCTGTAGAATGCGGACAGTATGCACAGTAGCACGGCACACAAGCTGGACAAGGCCCACGAGATCCACAATGAGCACACTGAGCAGGAGGAGCAACGGCAAAATCGGTGCCATTAGCGTTGGCAGCAGCCGCTGCAGCAGCAGCAACCAGTTGAGACGTCGACGGCGGCTGATCAGGTTGAACTTGCTGCTGCATGTTGGGTACTTGCTGAGCGGGTTGTTGAGTCATGGGCTCTGGTTGAACGGCCTACAAAAACGAACATCGAGAGCTCTAGTCATTGTGAGCACAGAAAAATCAGTACTAACCTGAATCTCACGAGTGCGTGTACCATCGCTAGCGACTCGTCGTAACTTCGGTGCACGAACTGATGCATCGAGATTTGACTGAACGCGAGACGATATCGGAGCGCCACGTTTTAACCGCATCGCCATGGAACGCATTTGAGGAGCGAGGGTGGGCGGCAATGAGGTGTGCTGACGAGCCATCTGTAACAGAAGGTTACTTCCATAAACGTATCCGAACTTAAAGCTTGCGCCTACATCGGAGATCCCATTGTTAACAAAGCCGCTGCTGATTCCTTGTTTGAATGTATATGAAGGGGATAAGATTTCAATACAGCATCGAAAAGCACAGAAGTTGTCCTTAATAACAGTACCACCCGATTTTGCTTATGATCCTAACATTCCTATTTTTTATCTCACCAGAATCTGACTGAAACTCTTTGCTGTATGAAAACTCTCAGGGACTCTCGGGGAGCACTACCCAATCAAAAGTTATTTAGAGCGGACAAACGCGAAAAAAAGCGAGACAAAAAGCAGATGGAATACTGGAGCCAGAACATTTGAATTATGATGATAACAACTCATGGTCCCCTCCTCCCTGGCGTGTGCCGTCGACAATCCTCATGACCATAAGATTACCAGCAGTAATGAAGGGAAAACCAGAAAGAAAACAGAAAAGATGGCAATACGAAAGCACCCAAACTAGAGTGGGTCGTATGACAAAATAGCGATCAATACCAAGTAACAGAGTATTCCATTGAATCCAAAACATGAGAAAATATAAAAATCCCTTGAAATTTCTGAGGTTTCGTTAAAGTTTCCGATTGTAAATACTCAGGAAAAGAAAACATAATCAGTAATATTCTAGCTCATGATCTTGGACCCTTTCATTATTTCCAATAAATTTCGTAAAATAAAGGAAAAGAAGGGTGCTGTGTGTCCACCGGTGACCACAACTTCAGCATTCAAAAAGGGTAGTAAGTGTGACCGAATGAGAAGCCCTCCACCGATTCAGCCGTAAGTCATCAGTCGAGAAACCAGTTCCCTAGCTAGCCAGCAGTAGCGCGTCCTGTATGCCGTGATCGGGGCAGTGGCACAATAACATAAAACGACGTTGTGATGGCGGCAGTGAGGACGATGACTCGTCGTCGTCACCGCCACCACTACAGAAGCCAACAGCGTGATTATCGGGACCGTCTCTTGAAAAGAACGCTGCACAACAACAACCTCGTCAACTCACCTCAACTTCCCTCCGTTGCTGTTGTTGTTGCTGTTGTTGCTGCTGTAACAGAACACTGTTCGCTAACGGAATCTGCGTTTGAGATAGCTAAAAAACAACAATAAAAAGTCGGAACGCGAAACCATACCTAATGCAGATTGAAATATTTCTAGAGAATAAAGATGATAATAAGAACAGAAGCAAAATAATCCCATTACACAGCAAGCAGAATAATCGCATTAGACAGCTAACACTGATCAAAAAAGTGACTGATGCTTTTTTTTGAGATTTTTACCTATTTAAGAAGTTTATGGGTGACCCGCAACTTCCTCTGAATCAAACTCTGAGCGGATAGTTGAGCTTATGAAAATGCTGCTGATAATATTCGATTCGTCGCCTGTTCCGGAAAGCCTTTGAGAAAAATCATAGTTCGGAAGTTTTCGTAGGATAAGGTTTTACGACCGTTCCAATACTAAAACCGAACGGTTACATATGCTTGATTTTTTTCTAGTTAGGAATCATACAAAGACACAGCGAAAGAATGTAAAAAAACGAAAAGTGTCCCTCGAAGTAGAGCACTAGATATCAACAGTCTGTTCATGAACATTAGCTCTTGCCTTATTTTCAAAGTAAGTAGAGAACTTCAGTAAAATGATTGAAGAAATAAAAAAAAGAATCTAGTGTAAACTAAATCTGCTAATTAACGTCGTTAGTGAAGAAAATACTAACGCTCACCTGAGAAGGCTCATTTATAATTTGCTGTTGGCCACTGTTTTGTTGTTGTTGTGATTGCGGCGCTGTCCCATTCTGTTGTTGAGCTTGATGGTGATTTGTGGGATGTTGCGATTGCGGTACCAACGCGTAGCTGGGCGTCGCTTGACCGTAAGCGATCGGTGCATGGTGTATAGAACAAGGTTGCGTCGGTGATGAATAGATACAGGATTGGCACATCATCGGCTGAAACAATATCTCCGCACTACGCTACAACTGCAAAACCATTTTGAAAGAAAACAGAAAACTATATAGTAAAATAAACGAATATAAACACAATCACCTCATATTACCACAAATCAAAAGAAAATCGCTCCAAACCACCATTTCCTGTTTTATGTTTTACCCGATGGAAGACGACGGGCACGGGCTCACTTAACTTAACAATAGCGTGCACCAGAGAAACCATTCGCAGGTGACAATGCTCCACAAGTACCCATTCAGTTCCACCAACATACGACCGCTTTTGTAAAAGATTTCAAAAGATTTTCTACCAATCCGGCTACTTGTACCCTAAAAACTAGAGGTGAATTTGACACCTATGACATTGAACCAGGATCCTCTTCAATCTACTTCTGCCTTACTTCCAGTTTTTTTTCAGTTAGTGGATGTTAGAGCGTTGATACAGTGCATAGATGTGATTCTACTTCAACAAAAGTATAACTCACAAGTCAGGTGCTACCTGCCTACAGACCTTCACAAGCAACGAGCCTTGACGCTACAGCTTTAGACGGTACCCATTTACGGCTACTTGAAGGCATCAGAAAATATGCCCTACTTTACAGTAAAGAACACAAAAGGTTACACTAATTTTCAACAGCCTGAAGATCCAAAACGCTTCCGCATAAAAAGGAAAAGGAAGTGAGCACGGTGGCCTCCCCTGTACATTGATTAAGATATGAACTTAAAAGAAAAACAGATTTTTCAATAAATATGTTGAAAGAATATAAAAGTATCCAGCGATTATGAACAAATTGCTTCACCACTTGAAATACCTGAGCACTGAGCAGGCAAGGCGGGACAGGAGTCTGTGGTAGAACAAGACCAGCGCCGGTTCCAGGATGATGGTGATGATGATGGTGGTACATCATCAGCTCGAGAGGGATGTACGGCGCAGCGGCCAACGTCTGTGATCCGTTCGCCGGTCCGGTGGCCGCTGCGTATGCCAACTGTTGAGCGGCCGCCGATGCGTTGCGCGACGCGGCTGCAAGTGGCATGGCGGCAGGCAGAGGATCCATCTGACGTTACGGGAATACACCACGAACACGGCAGAATGCCGTAAATGGACCTGGAAAAAGAAAGAATTCGTATGTACGATGGAACAATTTACTTCAAGAAATCGCGAATACATACGTTTCGGACGGATCAGTGACCATAATGCGGCTAAAGCAGAGAACATAACGTGGAATAAAGAAAAGAAAATATGCTAAATCATCATGTCGTGAAGAAAATGACTCGTACAAGATCAGTAAGCATTAGAAGTGCATAGAATCTTTGGTTTACTTCAAGAAGCACTGTGACCCAACTTGGGACGGTTCCCTCTTTATTGATTGCAGCCATTTTCAGAAAAAAAAAGAAAAACAGCCAAGGAAGTTTTAAGTCATATGACAAGAGAAGGAAGGTAAAATAGGGGCAACAACGAAAAAAAAAACTTGCTCAGATTATTTGTCAAGAATATAGCAATGCACCGTAGTCGTGCAATTAAGCTCCCATTCCTTAGTTCTGCTGGCCCTATCAGTCATATACACTTGACAATACATTTCCTCTTAGCACAAGCTCGATATGGCACTCAAGAAAATGCACTCCCAGAAGCTTAATCGGTAGCCCATCAGCGCAATCATTAGCAAGTCTGAGTCATACAATACTTCCGAAACATAAAGACAAAAAAGATGATGTCACGGTCTCATGTTATCATTGATTGACCTAGCGAGGAAGTAGATACGGTATTGATAAGATTGACAGTGTAATCTTGAGGCCTGCTAGAATTACACTTGAATGTTCATCGAATGAAATTGAATCGATTCGTATCAAAGAAGTAGCGAGAATATAAATAAAAACACACTAAGCTAGAAATTACAGCTGCGAATGGAAAAAGAAAGAGGACATCAATCATAATGACAGTAACTGGTATCAGTAACTCTGAAAACGTAGGCTACTTACTGAATCCAGTGAAACTTCAGCACGACATTGATCCGCTGTTTTCTGGTTTGTCATAAAAACCCAACTTTTGTAACCCATAATCAATGAAAACGAAAAAAAAAACAACTGAAAAAACTCGATATTCAAGAGAATCGATAGGCCTTTGTTTGTTACATCATGGCATAAATTGTTTGCAACGATGAGCTAATCAATGAAAACGATAGCTGTACAAATAACGTTTGCATCTATTTGCCCACCTGATATCAACTGAAACGCGTTAGGGAGCATCTAGAACAGGCACAATACTTCAGCCAATTTCTGGGGGATAACGAGGGAACAGTAGAAAACTCAATAGGTAGAATAAAAAAAGACATTTTGAATAATATAATTTGCCTGGAACGGGTTTCAACAATCCCCCCTGTCCCAATAAATGCATTTCCCGAGCGACACTGCGATATCAACGCATCTTTCGTCGTCGTTGCCCGATGGAGAGATATTGAATGCGAGTTTGCGACGACGAATATTGATCGGCGTGGTAATTCGGAGGGACTGCTGTGGGTCTTACGCAGTTTTCCTGGGGAGAAAGATATGACCGATACGGTGCAAAGTACGAATTGTGCATCTACCGTCCAATCTACATCTATAGAGAGATAGTCAAACTTGAAGGAAAAGAAGGTAGGGTGAGGTAACGGCAGTGGGGAGGCGGAGAAAATTCATGTTAGTCGGCACCAGTTCTCAATCTATTTCGGTCTCCTTACACTCCTACTTTACAGGATTCCTTTCAACCCAGTTGGGGTTTCATTGATCGTTCTGAGCAGTAAAGAAAAAGGAAAAAGCCGTGCAATGAAGCCAAGGTTCACGATGAATATAAAGGGTAAGAAAAAAAGAGTCCAACCCAAACCAAACCTCAAAATAACGAAAATGCCAGCACAGGGTATGCTGGATTCCTCAGCAGCGAAATGTCCTTAATGAGGTCGACACAGGACGCCTGGTCAGCACTGCCAGGCAACGGGACATACACTGAATGCCAGCAGATGCAATGCCGCAATTACGACCCCACCACCGACGCCGCCGCTACAGCGATCGGCGATAACGGGACGATAAGAAATCAGAACGGATTAGACGTCGCCGGTAACCCAACTGAGGTCACTTTGCGAATCGCATGACGCCAATTGCTGGCTCATTTCCATCCCAATAAAACTGCTATTACGCAAAATTACTGACAAAATTTCAACAGGTTCCAGGAAATTCGGATTAGTTCAAATACAAGAGAAATGGACTTTTGTCCTTCCATCTTTCTCTCATTCTCTACAAATTACACCAAGAAATCGCAAATTGGAAAGTCATGGGCAAAACTTCGGTATCAGATGGGGCTCAAACTTGTGCTGTGCTTATAAGGATAAACATAAGAACATGAAGTCAAGATTAGAGGGATTTTAATGTCCTGCGAACGGGGTGTGGTGCGTTAGGAACGAAATGGTCGCGTCGCGGTGAGAGGGGCGTCGCGCGCGAAGGAATGTAGCAGGATGCAGCAGTAGGTAAGAATCACAAGAACAAAAGTACTAATAGTAGAATTATGCATAAAATAATGATCGCATATTGATTGAGCTGTATGAAGAACGCTAGAGCTGTAATAACAGCGAATGAGTGGTCCGCGACAGCCGCGTGCGACGAATCGATTACCCAAAATCGTTCCTAACGCCCGTCTCCCCTGCGAACGTGTGGTGCAATAACACCAATGAAGCCCCACTACCCACCCCGTGGGCCGTTGTTGCGTCGTATATGTGACGGGTTTTTGGAGAGATTCGAGTGGGCGTTAGGGTTACTGTGTAACACATTCACAGGACTTTGAAATCCGTCTTGTGAAGTTAAAAAGGAAAAGAATTTTTCCCTAATATTCAACTTTTCACAAACCTTTTCAACTATGACTCACTATTGCCGATACAGCTAGTAGTTGTAAACTTGGTTTACTCAAAATGATTTAATGCAGCACTTCTGTAGATGACAATTTCGAAACACGAAATTGAAGATGGTAAAAATTACCAAAGAACATACGAGGTCCGTATTTTAACACATCCCGTTTGGCTTACTGTAAAAAAGCTTTTAAAAAGAATTTTGTACACCGTAGTCATGCAACAAAAAATAATATTCGCGCTAGCTTCTAAAGACAAATTCATTTAACCAAAGGTGTGTGTACTTTATAGAGGTCCATTAGTAACCACAAAAATCAAAAATTAGGCATGAAACCGCCACAAACAACTCCTTAGGATATATTGTCCAGAAACAATGAAGGCCGTCAAACAATCAAACCAGATAAAAGATTATCAATTTCAAAATCAGAAATAATTGAGGTCGATTCCACGCTGAACCTCTTACCGGCCTGATTACGAGCATATGGCGCCAAAGCTAGCTAATGTGAAACTAGAGTTCGAAGTTTCTTACTTCCACTTCGTCCTAGTAACTCAGCTTATATAGGAGCTCAACCATTCCCAGGTAAATATAAAAGAAAAGTTTCGATGATACGGAACTCTAGAAAAAGAGGAAACGTAGAGCAGAGATGTGGCGCATTGTGTTGCAGCAGGGGAGGTTTCGTCAACACACGGTGCCCTTGACGCTGATCAATACGCTGAGTAAACATTCGATCGATAAGCAAACAGTCAACAGCGGGCCGGGGACAATGAAAGCGCCCACATCGCCCCGTAAACTCGATGTCGATGTGAACCAATGCATATGATTAACCCTTAGAAAAATATGCATATCGGTTTAGGAAATTTTGTAAATATGGATTGGATAATCCAATGGTCACCAAAAAATCGTTGCATCATCACCAAGATTGACATTATGCAAAGCAAACATAAAGAACGACCGTAACGTTAAGAACTGTATTTCTTTTGAGGACTGTAATAAAATAAAAGCTCTATAGAAATGATTTGGAGTAAATGAGGGAAACTGTAGGAAGCTAAAGGACACAGGGTCAAGCAGTCGTGCAGGGTGTTGGGAAAATGCCGTCAGGAAACAAATTTCCCTAATTGGAGTAGGAAAATGCAGTAGGCCAGAAGAACGACCTAAAGCTACCGTATTATTCCCAGATACAGTACTTCATCCCTAACTACAACTCGATTCATTCTATAAAATGTTATTCTTGAGTGTCGAAATCATGAAATAGTATAAAGAAAGATTCGCCAATTAACGGAAAAGACAACGAAAATTCAGTTCGCATCCAATTTCTACTGTAATACCAATATGGTTTCGTATACTCTCCTAACCGTGGGGCGTTGCCAAATAATATGCATTGATTGCGTGGTATCATGAACTAATCAATACTGGAATACGATAAGAATTCGGTGCGTACTAAGTTTTCGTTCTTGTAGAATGCCGGAAATAGAGGGATTGTGGTAATGCAGATTCACGAAAATGTGGAATTTTTCGAAACGTAGTCAATCCTAGGGGAGGGTTTTGAGGAGTCGCAATTCAATTATTCTGAATGGTACTTGAATGGCCAAACACGGTAACCAGTAACCCTTTCACGGAATGGGACGTGTGCTGGGCTATTTGTAAGAGCGCTTTTATGGTAACACATTAGAATCCCACATACAAAGGTGTAATAACAATGGTGCTATACCTTGTCCAAACCATAGAACACCTTAGAAGGAGGGTGATTTCCGGGAAAAATGAAGCTATTCCCTTAACTGCAACCATCGTCAGTCTATGCTCCCAACGATGGATATCGATTAGGCGCAAGATTGATTGGCGCCAATTTTGAATCGCCAATAGGGAAAAATGTGAAAGTAATCGATATGACCCTAATTTTCCATTAGACTCCCACACGATGTGGGGAAGTATGTAAAGGGAAGGGTGATCTAACCGTAAATATATATCCTATTCGTCACCCACGAGAACGCAAGTGAAAGGTTCGAAGGATTGTTAGGGTAGAACAACGACATCGTAAGCGTAATTACACTAAAAGCACAACGAAACAGGTAAACTTCAAAAAATAATGCCGGTTACAGTAATTACTATTCAAAACCAATGTTTTATGATTGGGATTGTTTTATGATATGATTTATGATTGGGATATCAGAAGATTGTTTAGAAAAACAAATAGGAAGCTACTAAACACATGGAAAATACAGTATATCGCATGCAATACTTTACNNCCCCCCCCCCCCTCTCCTATTCATTGAAAGTGTGTAAAATTGGTGTAATGCATTTGTTAGAGAAAAGTCAAAAGCAAGAAAATCAAGTTTTCCGCGTCACTTAAAGAGCAGCACAAACAGAGACAGACGCAAACATACACGGAATTTTGAAAACCCCTAAAATCTGCTTGGATCAAGTCGATCAATTTGCTTACACAAATAATTTCATAAAAGCTGTCAATAGCGGGCTACTGTAGCATGATACAACAGGGAAATTTATTACAACGTATAGTAGGACCCAATAGATCGTCATTACCGTTCAATAACAACACTTTAAAACAACACAAACAAAAACTCGTGCGAAAAACTAAAAGCAAACAAAGAAAACACAAAACAGCAAAAATCGGGGATATTATGAGCTTTCATAAAGCTAGGGAATGTAGGCAATGGTTGCAGGACTTAAAAAGATCACTGGGAACACTTGTTTGGGAGGTTTCTCCTGAGAGCAAAGATACAAACGAAAATCGATGGCAGTGAATCGAAACGAAATCGTAAAGCGACAAAACGAACAAAAAGTACGGCAATTCAAGCAAAAAGAGATAAACGTACGATAAAGAAGATGTTCAGCACTTCCCAGTGCCAGATTCGGGTATGGAAAAGGTCGCTCTTTGGGTGGGAGGCTTGTGGAAAGGGCGGTAGGGGAGTGCAGCTAAACCAATGCGACCGCCACGTAGCAATCGATTGCGCGACAGCTTTTGGGTGCATAAGCACCCAAGCGATGGCGGGGCGTGCTAGGCCACACCCCCACCCACACAGGGAATACAGACGGACTGATGGGACCCCGCCCGCGCGAGCAGGCCGGGAACGAGAAGACGAGGGGCGGGCATTAGCAGTAGGAGAGGAGAAGGTGACCTCGGCACAACCCGTACACAGCAGCATACTCTCATCTCAATACCTGAATGAAGGTCAGCTAGTGAATATGGGCGGCCGAATTGGCGATAACAAGTGTTCCACCGCCTATAGCCGACCCACAGTGGCAGACTGTGCTGCCCTCCTGGAAAAACCGAACCCGAACACATAAATCAATGTAAAGGGAGATTCAGAGTCCGATTATGGATCCAGTACCCAGTGAATCCAGCATTACTCTGTATGGGTGCCGATGAACAACGAGCGAGGAGGCTATCCGAAGGCTAATGACCACTGCTCATCGAATCTCTCTGGCATCACAGCGAGTTCAAGTACCCAGACAGCGTAATTAGGGTTGAGGGTGCTGGTCGATTTCATGAGTGGGGCGGGCTTCACCACCGTCTAGATCTCTATCAGATACAACCCCATTTCGGTTGCAGAGAATTCTGCTTTAATATCTTTGCTGGACCAGCGTGGAGACTTTTTAGTGGCACTTTTAATGCGGTATAATAAGTATTCCGCTGAAAAGTCGGTATATTTAATCGATAAGTTCTGTAAGTATGAACCCCTTCTGGCCTCAATCAATGGAACACGCCAGCCCAATCGATTGCTGTTCAAAATCGTAGTTGTGATGGTAACAGATATTGACAAAGATCATTAAGAAATAGTGTAAACTGGACCGTCTTTGGATTGCCTACATGATAGACTTCGCTGAACTCCGCCATTCTCTTGAAAATACGTTGTTATGGAGGCCAAACGCTCATACCCTCGAACGCCTTCTCCATACTTTTTAAGGTAGCGAAAAGATCAATAAAGAATAACGATTGATCAGAGATCATGTGGAGGCGGAGTTGGTGTAGTGCCAAGTGGCGCACTACTGCAAGAATGATTCCTGGGTGGAATCTCAAACTGATACCTACCCAGGTCAAGCAAGCTTAACATCTCTCCGGAGTCGGTTGATTGGTACAAGACTCGTCTGAGAGTAAAAAAAGCACAGACTTGTACATCGGCTGGCCACCGCAAATCAATGTTTGGGCCATAGGCACATTCAGAACACCATTACGATTCTTAATGGAAGTCGAATGCACAGGGGCATCCCAAAATGGGATTGAGTAGTGCCAAAA